GGGCAACTAAAATGATTAGGGGTTTGGAACGGGTCCCATATGAGGAGAGGCTAAAGAGACTGGGACTTTTCAGTTTAGAAAAGAGGAGACTGAGGGGGGATATGATAGAGGTCTATAAAATCATGAGTGGTGTGGAGAGGGCTGATAAAGAAAAGTTATTTATTAGTTCCCATAATAGAAGAACTAGAGGACACCAAATGAAGTTAATGGGTAGCAGGTTTAAAACTAATAAAAGAAAGTTCTTCACACAGCGTGTAGTCAACCTGTGGAACTCCTTGCCAGGGCAGGCTGTGAAGGCTAGAACTAGAACAGAGTTTAAAGAGAAGCTAATTCCATGAAGGTTAGGTTCATAAAAGGCTATTAGTCAGGGGACAGAAATGGTGTCCCTGGCCTCTGATTGTCAGAGGCTGGATTGGGATGGCAGGAGACAAATCGCTTTATCACCCTCTCTGGGGCACCAGGTGTTGGCCACTGTCGGCAGACAGGCTACTCGGCTAGATGGCCCTTTGGTCTCACCCAGTACGACCGTTCTTAGGTTCCCTATAATTGACATTTGCAAAGCAACTACTTGGGCATCTGCCCATATGTGCACTAAGCATTGTGCGTTGGAATCCCATTCTGCTTCCCGTGCACACTTCGGCGAAACTGAGCAATCTAAAGTACACTCATGCTCTTAAGTCCCCTACTCCTGGGAGAGGCACGGTTCTATAGTCACACACAAAGTGGAGCACTCACAGAGACGCTCCTTGAACAAGGGAAGGATATTCACCTGTGTAGTAATGTGAGATTCTTCAAGATGGTTCGCCCTGTAGGTATTCCACTAATGACCCTCATCCCCTCTGGTTTGAAGTCTTTTTTATCTTCTGAGACAAAGAAGGAACTGAGGAGACAGTTGACTGTATGTGGAGATTGCCGCTCCAAACAGCATGAGCCAGCTGCCCTTCATGTGCAGCCTACCCAAGGCATTGCTACCACAAATTTTTAACTAGAGGCTCAGAGGTGCTCAGACACCTAAACTGGAGCTCGCACAGGGTCAGCCATCTCAAAGAACCTCAGTTACTGTACAGGTGAGTAACCTCTTCTGTGTCTTTGAATATTCCATTATATATTCCTCTTCAGTTTGGTTGGAGCTATCATCTAGTAGTGGTCCCACAGCTCTTGGGTGGTTGGGACTCTGGAGCCTCCCCTCTCATCTGAATTGGGGCTTGAGTTCTCATCTCCTGTTTTTCATGATCTGTCTGTGAGTTGTGTTTGAAAATAACCATGACAAAATCAGAACCCTACTCATCACAAGAGGTAGTTCTTCTTTGAGGAGTTTCCCTGTGCGTGGTTAGGTGTCTTTGTGCCTCTGTGACCCAAATCAGAGAATTGCAGTAGCAGTGCCCTTTGTATGCTGCACATGCAGGCAGCTGGCATGCCCGTGTAGAGCCACTAGCCTGCATGCGCAGCCAACAATGCCTTTAGTTCCTTCTCAACCACCAATGGCCTTGGTCAGAACTTAGCAGTCACCCTCATACTTCATATTGAGATCTTTTGTTACCAATATCTCTTAAATTTCTTTTTTTAATCATTTATTTGGTTGGTTCAGCCAGTTTTTTTCTCTTCTCTTTAAGAAAAAAAAACACAAAACTTTTCATTGCCATGTTTTCAGTTTGTTTCCCTCTCTGGGATATACCTGGCTCAGCAGGA